ACTCCTCCTCCTCCTCCCTCCTCCTCCTCCTCTCCTCCTCCTCCTCCTCCTCCTCCTCCTCCTCCCTCCTCCTCCTCCCTCCTCCTCCTCCTCCTCCTCCTCCTCCTCCTCCTCCTCCCTCTCCTCCTCCTCTCCTCCTCCTCCTCCTCTCTCCTCTCCTCCTCCTCCTCCTCCTCCTCCTCCTCCTCCTCCTCCTCCTCCAACAAGATCACCACCTTGCCCCAGAAACGACGACGGGAGGCCCCGGCCCAGGGCGCTCGGGCCTTCGGGGGAGCACCTCCTCCTCCTCCTCCACCTCCTCCTCTTCCTCCTCCTCCTCCGCCTCCTCCACCCCGCTCTGTGGTCAGCCTTCAGGCCCTTCTGGTGACAACAGTCCTCCACCTCCGAAGCAGCATCCGGACCAGATGGGGAGGAACGACTGGTCGGCACGAAACGGGTGCGTCCTCTCGCAGCGGGGTCTGGGCGGGAAGAACGTCCTCCAAACCTCGGGGCAGAAGGAATCTCCCAACCTCCGCTGGCGGGAACTCCCTCGGCACGCAACCTCGCTGGGCTCTGCCCAGACATCCCTGCAAAGCGGCAGAGAGGCGCACGAATTCCAACCAGCCCTCTCGGCTGAGGAGTTCCAGAGCGTTTCCTCTTCCATCTTCCCACCTTCTTTCCATTCGGGGGTGAGCATTTGTGTTCCTCATTGAAATTCATCCCTCCCCCACCTGACCAGAAGTAGACCAGGAAACATGACCACACACTTCCACCATCCCTGTCAAAAACAATTCCAGATGCACTTTGCAATACATTCTCGACCATGCGCGGGCACCATGCGATCTTTTTTGCATTCGCTTTTGGCAGGGACGAGGGGGGTGCCGGCAAATTGCCTGCTGCGCGCAGGCCCGTCATCCCCGTCAAAAAGCGGAACGAACTAAAATGTGCGGCACAATATTGATCATGCGCTGGCGCCCCGCGATTCCTGTGCAGTGTTACTTGGCAGGGGCGACGGAGGGACCTTGGCACGCGCGGCGGACCTCGCGGGCGTCGTGAGGCTGGCTGGCCTCTGCGGCGGTTCCCGACGATTTTCGATGGCGGCACCCGCCCATGCAAAAACTCGGCGGCGATTTCTGCGCTCGGAGGGAGCGAGACGGCCGTGCTTCGGAGGGAGTAGCCAGACCCTTTCCCCTACCCCTTGGCTCCTCTTCACAACGCCCTGGACTAGTCCCACCAGCCCTCTGGGCGTCGGTGGTTTAGGGCGTTTCCTCTTCCACCCCTCCCTCTTCAGATTCGGGGATGGGTTTACCACTCCCCCTACCTCCTCCCCTGGACCTGGACGGGGGGGGGGGCGCGGGTAGTTAGAGCGTCCAAAACGGCCTCGGCGAGGAAGCCAAAATCATTGATTTTGCTACAGTTTTGGCCCCATTTTGGCCTCCTGGGGGGGGGGGGCCTCAATTGAGGGACCCCCCTTCGTTGACTGATCTCCTCCAAGATGGCCCCAAGAAGCGCCCAGGAGGTCCCAAGAGGTTCCAAGATGGCCCCAAGATGGCCACACGAGGCCCCCAAGAGGCCCCCAGGAGGCCCCCAAGAAGACCCTAAGCGGCCCCAAGAGCCCCCCCCCGAGGCACCCAAGACCCCGAAGAGCCCCCCAGGATCGCCAAGAGACCCTCAAGACGTCCCAAGAGGCCACCAAGAATCGCCCAAGAGATACTCCAAGAGGCTCCGAGAAGCATCCAAGAGACCTCTGGCCCTTGTGCTTGCCCTCCTCCTCCTCCTGTTCCTCCTTCCTGCTCCTACTCCTTCTCTTCCTCCTCCTCCTCCTCCTCCTCCTCCGCCTCCTCCTCCTCCTCATCCTATTCATCCTCTTTCTTCCCACTCCCTCATCCATCCATCCATCCATCCACCTCCTCCGTCTCCTCCTCACTCCTTTGCACGGTTCGGCCGTCCTCCTCTTTGCTGCCGCACTTCCCTGATCACCTCAACTCGCCTGGACATCGTTTCTGGATGGGCTGGTGGGGATACGCGAAGCGTCTAGAATTTTACTGCTTGAATATTGGACTCTTGACATGCTGGAGACGAAAAAAAACGAGTTCTCGCTCTCAACTAAAAACATTGAAATACACAACACACACGCGCTCTAACAACGGTCTAAACACCGACCGACCCGGAACAGGCCAAGAGGCCCAATGGCCCCAGGAGAGGCAATCGGCCATCTGGCCCCGAGGCCCGACGCCCCAGTCAGCAGCGAGGGCAAGAGAAGAGCAACAGGAACGATCAGAATCAGAGTTGGCATGCAGAGAGACTGCACGCCAAAAAGAAAGAACTGCGAACATCGCAGACGGCAAGGCTGAACAGTGCAGCCAATTGATCTGAAAACGCTAAAACACGTAGCTCAAAACGTCAACCTAATGAATCGTGATTTCACCGTTTTAGTTTACTTGTTGGGAGCTCTCCCCGCCGCCGCCCGCCGCCGCCGTGCTCCCGCCCCCCCCCCCCGCCGCGGCCCGCCGGGAGCCGC